AAATTGATAGGAGGGGGGGGGGGGTCCAAAAATCGTATACTAGGAAATTACCAGTTTATCTAAAAAATTATAAAGTTATGCATTTGTAACGGTAAATTACGTAAAAAACCCGCAAGTTTTTGGTGATGGAAATTTTGCTATAAAAGTCCTTAAATCTTTTTAAATTATAGACAAGACGACATTCTATGGCTTCTTTTTGAACCCAATTCAGGCGTCTAGTTTTCGTATAAATTCCAATGCCTACTCTTTATATTAGAAAGCTCTTTGTTTAAAACTGAATTGTGACTTAGTCCCACAAGAACCAGAAAATTCTGTAAAGTTAAAGTGAAGCAGTTTTATATTTGTAAAATAGGAAGCGTTTTTTGCTACATTAAATATGTGAGGCCCCCTACTGTTTCTTATCTGAGCCGCTTGTTTTAAGAAGTTTGATATCTGGAGTAAAGTTGTCTGGTTCTGGATATCTGGCAAATATATAGTTCTCTGCAGACCTATATAATACCTTCAACTTAGAAAAAGGAAATAGAAAAATTGAAAGAAGGCCGGACCAGATCTTTAATGAACATTATTGATGGATAGATTTATTTTACAATTCTACAGTAGAGATTTCAAACATTATTAATTTTAGTTTGAGGTATCATTTAATTTATGGCTCAATGTGTAAACATACACATTTTATTTAACTAAGTTCCTTGAACGCAAGGTACTAATGCAAGGTAAGTTAATTGTAGTTGCGTATACTCTGCGTACATATTGAAACCAGTTCTCTTTAGGCGGAATTTGTAAACAAGAATAGATGCATCAGTGTTCGTCTAGTATCCGAGGAAGATAAAAGCATATGATTTTGATAATTTTGAAAATTCACATAATAGTTTCTAAAGACCAGAATATTTCATAGATTATTTTTGTGAATTTTGATTTCATGTCATGCTGTGACATCCGTCTTGTGTTTACCTTTCCGCACAAAGACAGTACACTGCAGTACAAAAAATGCGCACACCTCTGAAATAGCTTTCCTTACATTAGTACCTTCCTTGAACGTAAATATTGCATTTTAAGCATTGCTGCCAATTTTTGTAAAATTTTTTGAAAGAGAGTAAATTATTTTGAAAGTGAAATATCACAGAAAACAAGTAAAACATTTTTCCTTTAAACCCTCAAAAATTAATTTTGGCAAGAAATAAAAAAGTTCGAAAAACAATATATTTATGAAGGGACATGAGTACCTGAATTCAGAAATTAGATCAAACACATGGAAGACCTTAATATATTAATTGCTAACCAAGAAAATTCTATTTTTAAATTTGTTTTTAGATCACTTGATAGTCCAGCCATCAAGCTGAAGGTTACACAAATGTTTAAGAACTCTACAGATCTCTCACAGTTATTCGCAGGTAACCCTGGAGTCATTAACATTGTTAGCAGGTAACCCTGGAGTCAATAACATTGTTTGCAGGTAACCCTGGAGTCATTAACATTGTTTGCAGGTAACCCTGGAGTCATTAACATTGTTTGCAGGTAACCCTGAAGTCCATAACATTGTTTGCAGGTAACCCTGGAGTCATTAACATTGTTTGCAGGTAACCCTGGAGTCATTAACATTGTTTGCAGGTAACCCTGGAGTTATTGACATTGTTTGTAGGTAACCCTGGACTGTTTGTAGGTAACCTCGAGTTATTCACAATTTAAGTTTAAAATTTAGGAAGTGTCACCGCTGTTGGACATGGAACTGAATACATAGATAATACCTTACATAATTTAAAAGAGGAAGAGGGCGGAGAGTGTAGGGGGGGTTAGGGGAGTGGGTTTAAGGTTATGTGGCCGGAAAAATGGTTTATATTGGTTGCCTAGTGTCCCTAGAGACCTATAATCCAAAGGGAACCATTTTCCAGGACTTTATTTCTTCTATAAACACAAACATACAATATGCTGCAACATTCAATATAAAAACAACTTGGTCTTTTTAAACATTTATGTAAAACATAATATTTAATATGATGAGAGTTTTAAAGTACATATTTTACCTTTTTTAACAGTAGTATATAAAGTATATTGATAATTTAAAGCTTATATTCATTGAGAATGGAAACTAAGAGGTGAAGCTTCCTCAGATGTACACAACCGACCACCCTATTAATTAATTAATAGGGTGGTCGGTTGTGTACATCACAATATGTTTTCGATTGAAATAGAAGTTGGCACGAAACGCCCTGACAGCCTAGTTCCTTACATTTAAACAATTCCCCCCCCCCTTCCGCCTTCCTTCATCATGAGCATTAAATGTATGATTGGTAACAATAATCTAGGTTAATATAGAAAATAACCATACATTTGGTCAGAAAAATGATTTTATCGCTAAAATATCATTTTAAAATATTGAATTTAGATTCTCCAGCTCCCAGGAGGATTGCAGATGCGGTCAGATCTAAGATAGAGAAGTTCAATGTTCATCTTTTTGTTCTGGGTAAGCGATATGGATATTTTTATGGAGAAGCGATTAGCATAGCATTCGGGATGTGGATTTTAGTTAAGGAAAAGTGTTATGGATAAGTTTTATAAATAAGTGTTATGGATAAGTTTTATAAATAAGTGTTATGGATAAGTTTTATAAATAAGTGTTATGGATAAGTTATATAAATAAGTGTTATGGACGTGTTCTAGATAAGTTTTCTTGATAGGTGGTCTAGATAAGTGTTCTGGATAAGTGTTCTGGATAAGTGTTATGGATAAGTTTTATAAATAAGTGTTATGGATAAGTGTTCTAGATAAGTTTTCTTGATAGGTGTTCTAGATAAGTGTTCTAGATAAGTGTTCTGGATAAGTGTTCTGGATAAGTGTTCTGGATAAGTGTTCTAGATAAGTGTTCTGGATAAGTCTAAAAATGTATTCGAACCTTTATAATTATCAATTGTTATTTTTGTTTTCTTTTTTCTGTTTTCATTCTTTTGATGATCTTTGTTAATAGAGACAATTTGTAATCCTGGTTTAAGAGAGAGGCATTGGGAGCAGATGGGACAAGAACTGGGTTTCCAGGTTACAAACTTTACTCTTGGTTTCCAGATTTTATACTTTACTCTTGGTTTCCAGGTTACATACCTTACTCTTGGTTTCCAGGTTACATACTTTACTCTTGGTTTCCAGGTGACATACTTTACTCTTGGTTTCCAGGTTACATACTTTACTCTTGGTTTTCAGGTTACAAACTTTACTCTTGGTTTCCAGGTTACATACTTTACTCTTGGTTTCCAGGTTACAAACTTTACTCTTGGTTTCTAGGTTACATAATTTACTCTTGGTTTCCAGGTAACATACTTTACTCTTGGTTTCCAGGTTACAAATTTTACTCTTGATTTCCAGGTTGCAAACTTTATTTGTGGTTTCCAGGTTTTAAAGTTTACCTTTTGTTTCCAGGTTACAAACTTTACTCTTGGTGTTCAGGTTACAAATATTTCTCTTGGTTTCCAGGTTACAGCTTTACTCTTGGTTTCCAGGTTACATACTTTACTCTTGGTTTCCTGGTTACAAATTTTACTCTTGATTTCCAGGTTTCAAACTTTATTTGTGGTTTCCAGGTTTTAAAGTTTACTCTTTGTTTCCAGGTTACAAACTTTACTCTTAGTGTTCAGGTTACAAATATTCCTCTTGGTTTCCAGGAATTACAGCTTTACTCTTGGTTTCCATTTTTTTTTTANTTTAAACTTTACTCTTGGTTTCCAGGTTACAAACTTTACTCTTGGTTTCCAGGTTACAAACTTTACTCTTGGTTTCCAGGTTACAAACTTTACTCTTGGTTTCCAGGTTGCAAACTTTACTAACTTTTTCTTGAAGCTCACAATTATGCAAACACACAGGGCAGACTTCATACAATGTTATGTTAAAACTTTCTCGGTCTAATTTTTTTTTTGATAAAAAAATTAATTAATGTAACAGTTGTCTTTCATTAACTACACGTAACTACAGTGTAATATTTTAAAATTGCAACAAAATAAAAGCAAAAAATCCGCCAAAAAACCATCAGAAATTCGTGGTTTTGGATAAGTTCATTATTAGTGTGGGCGAGAGTGCACTGAGAAGTTGTTAATCAAACTATTTTAAAACAAAAAATCCTTTTTTTTATTTTCTTATTAAAGGTAGTGTTCTCGAAAAATTAAAAGGGGGTATAGATTGATATCGAATCGAATTAGATATCGATCATTACTAAATTTAATATTATCTGTTGGGTCTATAACAAAAACAAAAAAATGTTATAAAATATCAACTTTTATGAATTCATCCAATTGCATTGGACACTTTTAGGTTATATCTGTTGAGCTGAATGGTGGATATCGATATCATTGCTTGATCTCCTCTTTTCATTAATCTCCAGATTAAATATAACTTGTACTGCTCTTGTTATTAATCTCCAGATTAAATATAGCTTGCACTACTCTTGTTATTAATCTCCAGATTAATTAACAAATCGGGATTAAGTATATCCCATTATAAAGTTTTCAGCTTTGAATGATTAATTATAATTTTAATTGAATTATTTACGATCTAAGTTGAAAGATGCAATTCTGTAAATTTGTATGAACGTTAACTTTTAGGTATAAGACGTTTTGTGCCATTTATAGACTCAACAGTAGAGATGTCAACGTTTTGATTTTTCTAGATTTTAGCTTTCGTTACGATAATATTCATCAAAAGTATTAACGTTTGAAACGTTACGTTGCACATTTTGAAATTTTATGGTATATAGTAACGTTACGTAATGAATTTTCTGCACTTGAATACCTTATACAACGTTACGCTTTAGTAAATGTTATTGAAAAAACAGTAAGTTCCGTTACGCTTTTGCATTTGATGTTTAAAAAATGAAACAAAACATTTCTTTACGTTATGGTCAAAAAAGTTGTAGATATTAGAAAAATAACGTTATATTTCCACAAAACGCTAACGTTGGGGGTATACTTCTCTAACGTTAACGTTTAACGTTAACGTTAGGTATGAGCTCCTATAACGTTAACGTTTAACGTTCACGTTATATAGAATATATCCAAACGTTACACATTATTGTAACGTAACGTACAAAAACGTACATTTTACGTTACGTTGCACTATCGTTGACATCTCTACTCAACAGATAATGGTAAGATTAGAATTGATCGATCAAATTAGATTCGTTATCAGCCTATACTCCCTTTAATTTTTCGCGAACATCCCTTTCATCTGTCATCTAAATAATTATTTGCAGGTTAAGCACGGTGCAGATATCACTCTCTCAAACATGATTGGTAAATTATTAAGATATATTATAAATCATTTCTTAAAAGCATAATTAAGTTCGATTGGTAAAATGTAAATATATATACATGTTGATTTTAATTTCTATCTATTTGTTCTGATGATTTTAATAAATTCCATTTAGATACAGATTAGGTCTTTTAAAATCTATTCATCTGCGCAAGGTACAATAATTGGCATGACTGATTTGATAAAAGTTGGGCCAATTTGCCGTAGGTGTTGTTAAACACTCTTTTTAATATTCCAGTTGTATAAAGTTGTTGGACGTTGGTATACACTCCCTTTAATATTCCCCTTGTCTAGACGTTGGTATACACTACCTTTAATATTCCCCTTGTCTAGACGTTGGTATGCACTCCCTTTAATACTCCCCTTGTCTAGATGCTCGTATACACTCCCTTTAATATTCCCCTTGTCTAGATGCTGATATACGCTCCCTTTAATATTAACCTTGTCTAGATGCTGATATTCACTCCCTATAATATTTCCCTTGTCTAGATGCTGGTATACAGTCCCTTTGATATTACCCTTGTCTCTTTGCTGGTATACACTCCCTTACATATTCCCTTTTTTAGATGCTGGTATACACTCTCTTTAATATTTCCCTTGTCTAGATGCTGGTTTACACTCCCTTTAATATTCCCTTTTCCTAGACGCTGGTATTCACAAGCTGGGAGAAAGGTTGCAGGATATCTCTAACTCTGCCAGCAAGGAGTTCTCCCTGGAGAAAGCAATGGCTAAGATGAAGGGAGAATGGGAGAATGTTAGGTTAGACAGGGTTACCCACCAAGGATGAGACTTTATAGACGACTGTACTAATTTATAGTGTCTAATTCCGCGTATTCACAATATTTTGCAACTGTAAACTTCTTTCTTTCTTTTTTAAATCATAAAATAAGCCAGTAAACGACTGTTTTCAAGGCAGAAGACTAACTTCAATCTTGGGATTTTCATATTATATGAGTTTCAGGTCGTCTTTACTTTCTTATCCTTTGTGGATAACCCTGTATTATACAAAATAATCATAACCTATTAAAGGGGGTAAAACAAAACAAAAATACCGTGACAAATTTACAGAAATTAATATATTCAAGTAAATATTAAAAATGTTTAAAGTTTTTCGAATACTTCATTTATTCGGACATCTTATATCATCATATTCTGAATGAAAACCTCTGTGAATATTCTGTTATTAATAAAAATCTCTATCAATATTTTGATATTAATGAAAACCTCTACGAACATTTTGATATTAATGGAAACCTTTATAGATATTCTGATGTCAATGAAAACCTCTATAAATATTCTGATGTCAATGAAAACCTCTATAAATATTTTGATATTAATGAAAACCTCTATAAATGTTCTGATGTCAATGAAAACCTCTATAAATATTCTGTTATTAATGAAAACCTCTATAATTAATTTGATATTAATGAAAACCTCTATGAATATTTTGATATTATTGAAAACCTCTATAAATATTCTGATGTCAATGAAAACCTCTATAAATAATTTGAAATTAGTGAAAACCTCTATAAATATTCTGATGTCAATGAAAAACCTCTATAAATATTTTGATATTAATGAAAACCTCTATGAATATTCTGATATCAATGAAAACCTCTATGAATATTCTGATATCAATGAAAACCTCTATAAATATTATTATATCAATGATGAGCAAGGTTTAAATCTAGGTTTCAGTGTCAGGCCTACAGAGAGTCCGGGGTATCCATACTTGCAGGAGTAGATGATATCCAGGTCTATTATTTTCTTATCCTTTCCTTTCTATTCTATTCTATTCTATTCTATTCTATTCTATTTTTTTCTTTCATATACTAAAGTATACTGTGTATAACGTATATATATTGTCTGCTAGGTGATGCTGGATGATCATATACTGAAGTATAATGTGTATAATATGTATATATATATATATATATATTGTCTGCTAGGTGATGCTGGATGATCATATACTAAAGTATAATGTGTATAAAATGTATATATATTGTCTCCTAGGTGATGCTGGATGATCATATACTAAAGTATAATGTGTATAATGTGTATATATTGTCTGCTGGTGATGCTGGATGATCATATACTAAAGTATAATGTGTATAATGTATATATATTGTCTGCTAGGTGATGCTGGATGATCATATACTAAAGTATACTGTGTATAGTGTGTATATATTGTCTGCTAGGTGATGCTGGATGATCATATACTAAAGTATACTGTGTATAATGTGTATATATTGTCTGCTAGGTGATGCTGGATTAGCCAAAGATTTTTCAGAATATCAATTTCACCATTTTCCACCGAGTTTGCTTAAAATTGTTTTCTATTCAGAATTACTTTTGTGAGATGCAAAGCTTGACGAATTTATTTAGATTGTACAATGTACTTCTGATGTTTGAAATGTTAATATGCTTGGCCCTAATTTTTAAACTAAGTGCGTCTAGGGCTACTTTTTTATAACAGTAGTATTAAAAAGAACGAAAGTATAATAACCAAAAACTGAACTAAAGACAAGAACACAAATTATTTTAAAATGAAAAAGTTTGAAAACTGATGATTCCTATATCTGAGTGTTTATATTTCTGATAAACCTGTTTGCAGTTTCACAACTTGTTAAACAACAGTAGTTAAAGTTTCAAGTGTTTGCCCAAGGCTAAATTTCATTAGAGTTGACCAGGAGGAAATTTCAGGAAATCCAATAGTTTGCTAAATTTGGAGAAACTTAACTTTGTTTAAAGAATTTAAAGGGAATATTGGCCAAATTCAATCAGTACATTACATACAGTATATATAAAGGGAATGTTTATGAAACTTCTTGTAATCATAAAGTGACATTTTCAAAAGTAACCTTTAAACCTTTGTCTTAATACAAATACAAAAGTAATCCTCATTTTTCTAGCTTAACATTTATCATTTCAATTCTCATTTTCCACCTGAAAATTCATCATTTCAATCTTCATTTTTCTAGCTAAAAATGTATCATTTCAATCTTCATTTTTTAACTAAAAATTCATCATTTCAATCCTCATTTTTCTAGCTAAAAATTAATCATTTCAATCCTCATTTTACTAGCTAAAAATTCATCATGCCAATCCTCAACTTTTTAGCTAAAAATTAATCATTTCAATTCTCATTTTCTAGCTAAAAAATTATCATTTCAAGCCCAATATGACATGCGGATTTCTGCCATGAAGACTAAGAGTGATGTAAAGGATAGAACGTACCGCTCTATAGTTGGAGAGTCCATTGAAATTACGTTTACATCACCCCGGACTAACCAGAGTGAGAGGCATTCAGTTTCTTCTATTTGAAATCATCCGTGCTTTGGTCTGTAGCTGAACAATCTTTAAACGTATGGATTTTTTGTTTCATACTTTTCATTCAAAACGTATATACTGGCAAACAGGTGTTTAAGAAATAAGGCAAAAGAACTATGTTTAATAGGACAAATTGTGATCGAAAGTCACAGCTTTCTGGAATATTAACAGAACCCTTAAATCCACGTGACATGGTTTAAGATCAATTACGGATTTCTCGGCCCATTATTTACAAAAATAAATACAAAATTCATGTCACAAATAAAGTCAGTCTCTCCGGATCAACTTTAAGTACACAAAGTTCACAACTAACTCTATATACTCTCTTCCTGTCCTTAATAAGACTAGGTTTACATCGAACTAACTTTTATTACTAAAGATACTACGTAGCGGTGAGCGCATTCAAATACGAAAATATATTTACAAGGTTTGGGTTTACTAAGATAGATATTTAATTTTATTACATACAAACAAGATGATTTTAAGGATATTCTGGATGCGTGGTTGAGGTGCCAGGAGTCTTGGTTGTATTTAGAACCTATTTTTAACAGGTAAGATAAAACCTGGAAATAATTAATCTGACATTTTTGCGAAAGGAATGGAAATTTTACCACAAACTTAATTATTCTAATCACTTTGCAACCTGATGGTGTAAAAGATTAATATTTCAAACTTAAATTAAATGAATTAACAAAATATATAGTTTGAAATATCTAAGGTCGACGACATAAGGTTAAAAAGATATATTGATTAGAAAATCAAAGGTTGTGGTAAAGCATCAATTCCTTTCTTAAACGGCGTTGTGACTTTTTTATTTAACGCACTCCTCATTATAGCTTTTCAGAGAGAGGAGCTATAGACTAAAACATGAAAGATTTCAATCTGACATCAAATTCAATTTGACGCTGGGACTTTTTAAATTATAATTTCTGTTAGTTATGTTCTTTTCCAATGAGTCACAATTACGAAAACAAATTTTTAAGTGTTTTCTAATAATACACTAAAATTGTATTGTTTTCACTTTTCCTTATTTTTCTTCTTTCAATTTCTTTTTGCCTTTTTAAACATAACAAATGTTTAACTATTTCTTTTTAGAGCTATTAAGCTTTTAAAACGCTTTGCGCCCATCTTCTATTCCATTCTATTTAATTGTGGCATCTTCGCTTTGTATAATATAAAACAATAGCAAAAACAAAGTGCGCGGATTAAATAATAATCTAAAATTTGTAAAGACAAATTTTGTAAGTTTGAGCATCTATAAACCTTTCTTGGGGGTTAGAGATGAATCATTTTCACTTTTTTGAGAAAAGATCTTTTTGTTTTAAAAACGACAAAGAAAAAATGAAACAATAGTTTTTTTCGAACAATAGTTTTTATAAACGACCGTTTCTTTTTTCGATCGTTAACGACGACTCTTTGTTTCTGACCGTTAACGATGACCTTTTCAAGACAAAATACACTATTATGGTCGGAGAATCTGAGTCGGAAAACATTGAGGATATTTATCTCAATAAAAAAACATTTATAATATAACATATTTATAAACTTATCTTCCTGAACAAAAAATTGAAATTTATTAACACAAAGCTAAAATTCATTTTTTAAATCGATTGTTTTTAAAATATAAAAAACTATTGTTTTTTTTCATAAAAACAAAACTATCGTCTTCTTATAAAACGAAACAATCGTTTAAAAAAAACCGAAATAAAAAACGATAGTTTTTAAAAACGATTGACAACTCTGCCATGTGAGTTGCCACACAAATTTTGAGGATGTTCGGTTAATCTTATTTTATGCAAACGGACAAACAGACATCATAGCAAACTATTATACAATTATAATATTCAGTGAAGACATTATGAAACAAATGCCAGTTGAGGGAAGAAAGTTCAACAAGGTAATACAATGTATACGGTGAAACCCTTAACATAGTGGAATAAGAAGACGACAATTAAGCAATTTTTGTGCATTTGAATTTATCATTTATCATGTAAACGAGCTAAGAATCAATTTATCAAGTAAAATGGGTCTGTTTTTACTCCACACTACGTTTTTGTTTATATTGGACTATTTTAAATGATAACTAAAGTCTAACAGTCATCTTACTATTCCACAGTTTTATGGATCTAACTGTTTTTTAAATTGAACATTTTAACAGATTTCAGTCTAGTCATATTCAAGACTAAAAACTTGTTCACCAGGGTGAAGAAAGGTTTTCTTTTAATTTATTCTATTAATTAAGCTATTGAAATATAAATATAAATAATCGGTGTCAGGTATTTTCCCGAGGACGACCTCCTAGTGTTTCCAAAGGTTAGGTTCGGCCTTGGGAGGCGCTGCAGTCTGCAAGGAGGGCCAAGCGCTGCGCCTAGAATGGGATATGTGACTGAGTGCTATGATTAAAACAGGCTAGGGAACCGAGCGCTACGGTTATAACGGGCTAGGGAACCGAGCGCTACGGTTATAACGGGCTAGGGAACCGAGCGCTACAGTTATAACAGGCTAGGGAACCGAGCGCTACGGTTATAACGGGCTAGGGAACCGAGCGCTACGGTTATAACGGGCTAGGGAACCAAGCGTTACGGTTATAACGGGCTAGGGAACCAAGCGCTAGGGTTATAACGGGCTAGGGAACTGAGCGCTACGGTTATAACGGGCTATGGAACCAAGCGCTACGGTAATAACGGGCTAGGGAACCGAGCGCTACGGTTATAATGGGCTAGGGAACCGAGCGCTACGGTTATAACTGGCTATGGAACCAAGCGCTACGGTAATAACGGGCTAGGGAACCGAGCGCTACGGTTATAACGGGCTAGGGAACCGAGCGCTACGGTTATAACGGGCTAGGGAACCAAGCACTACAGTTATAACGGGCTAGGGAACCGAGCGCTACGGTTATAACGGGCTAGGGAACCGAGCGCTACGGTTATAACGGGCTAGGGAACCGAGCGTTATGGTTATAACGGGCTAGGGAACCAAGCGCTACATTTATAACGGGCTAGGGAACCGAGCGCTACGGTTATAACAGGCTAGAGAACCGAGCGCTACGGTTATAACGGGCTAGGGAACCGAGCGCTACGGTTATAACGGGCTAGGGAACCGAGCGCTACGGTTAGAACAGGCTTTGGAAGTTGCCGCTAGGAAAATTGCACATGGAAAAGTAACTAATATCAAATAATCCGGTTTCTTTTGTTGAATAGAAAATGGTGGAATATATATATAATCTGATTTATTTAGGTGTATAGAATATGGAGGAATATCAAATAATCCGATTTCTTTAGGTGGATAAAATATGGAGGAATATATATATAATCTAATTTCTTTACGTGTATAGAATATAGAGGAATATGAATATTTAATCTGATTTCTCTAGGTGTATAGAATATGGAGGAATATATAATTAATATGATTTCTCTATAGGTGTAGAGAATATGGAGAAATATAAATATTTAATATGATTTCTCTAGGTGTACAGAATATGGAGGAATATATATGTATAATATGATTTCTCTAGGTGTACAGAATATGAGACTATTGAAGCAAGTTCTAAGCTTTGCATTAGATTTCTTTCTAATTTATGTAAAAATGACCTCAACACAGTTCTTGGCAGAAATTTATTTTCTATTGCAAATGATTGTTCTGTAAATCCTTCGGATCTTAGTAAAATGTTAGTTAAGAAACAATTGAAATATTTTGATTGCATGGAAAGTTCCGGTTTTACAAGAACTTTTAAATACAAGAATGAATAATTTATATGTTGAAGGATTCGATGATTACGTAATAACTGAAATGATAAATATGTTATGTAGTGAGTAAAAACCAATGTTTTCTATTTGTGCATAATTTTGCATATTTTTTCTCTTTTCTTTTGGAAACCTGTATTTTCAAAAAAAATTTATTTAGACAAATTTAAACTACACCATTTATATATGTATTTATATCTTTGTGTGTGAATAAAACAGAATATGGAGGAATATATATTATGATTTCTCTAGGTGGACAGAATATGGAGGAATATAATGGCTAAAACTGTGTCTGATACAAGAGTTGTTCTGGCAACCAGTCAACAGAATATGTTGGTAAATACTCCGTTCCTTTCAAACTTAAGTAGGAAACAAGCAATTTTAAATTGCATAGGCCTAGGGCTACAAAAAAGTATGAATAAGATGGCGGTTTAAACTAAAAGGTCATGGCGTTGCGACACTTTAAAGTCGAAGCTGTCTAAATATTTAATGCCTATCTTCCAGAGTTGTCTAAAACTACTTGTTTTTGTTTGTAATCATAAATTTTATATTTGTATTTCGAGACATTGTAAAATATCTTGGTAATGTTAGTGTTTGGGATTAAAAATATTAAACCCAAGCTTTACAAGTGTTATAGTCATGAAGGAGTTTATACTATTATCTCTTAAAGTCTGCAGACATCTTTATTATATTCTTTTATATTCTAGAAACAAACAGTTTTTTCTTTTCAATTTTTTTAGGTTTTGAGTGCACATATTTATGTTATATTTGTACTGGTACATATTTATGTTATAAATATACTGGTACATATTTATGTTTTGAATGTACATTTTTCTGTTTTGATCTTTTGGAAACCTGTATTTTCAAAAAAAATTTATTTAGACAAATTTAAACTACACCATTTATATATGTATTTATATCTTTGTGTGTGAATAAATCTTTATAATATAATATATGTATAATATGATTTCTCTAGGTGGACAGAATATTGAGGAATATATATATATGTAATCTGATTTCTCTAGGTGGACAGAATATGGAGGAATATATATATATACTAGGCTTTTAGGGCGCTTTGCGCCCATCTTCTATTTCAATTTTTAAATGTGGCGTTATCTCTGAACATCTTCTCTTTGTACAGTATAAAACAAAAACAAAAAAAGTTTGCGGATTTCATAATATTTTTTGCGCATTTTCAAAATTTTCAAAAATAAAAAACTTAAAACACAAATTTTTAAAATTTTGATCATTCATAAACCTTCCCTGGGGTCACGTGAGGTCCC